CTTCGGCACCACCAAGCCACAAGCGGCCCGAGCCTTCATGAGAAGAGGGGCCCCCCCGGAAACACAGAGTACTCACCCTTATGCAGCAGAGAGCGCGGGTGGAAGACTGAGAGGGCAGGCGGCAGCGTGATATGGAATCCACGGAGACCCCGACTATCCTGCCTACCCCATGCATGGTATGCCAGTCCAAGCCGACACAAGGAGCCAGAGAGACAAGCCTGAATACTCATGCTCCCCTACAAGTCGATCTAGACAACCACGGGCATAGGTTGAGTCATCTATATGTGAGGGGACACTAGATCTGTCAATGCCGGAACCCACAGTTTCTTCTCCCTCAAAATACTGCTCTCCGTTTGCCATTTTTATCGTGTATACTTTCACCATACTATGCATAGTTTTGTTTCACTTAGCATATCCACTGCCCTCCGACTTACCTAATCTGTCTCATGTTAATTTATGTTCACAAATGTGTTTCCCTATAGCCAATATCTACTACCCAGTGGTAACATTACTAGTAGACGTGTTCTCTATTGTGCTCATGTTATACTATGCTATTAAGACTAACCGTTACCTAGCCTGCTTCCATTAATGCTCATACTAGCATACCTACTGACACATTATGTATGACCATGTTTTATTGTACAAAAATTGTGCAGTTTTACCCAATGTTATGACGTTATGTGCTTCGCATTGCCTGCATTAGCTATTGTGGCATTACAGGCCTGTTGTAAACCCTTTGTACAGCAAAAATAAAGAATTACAAAAAAAATGTGACTTCCATGGAAATCCCGAACCCCTGAACCGATCTGGGTGATCTTTGGATATGTTGGTCCCCCCAGATCGGGACCATCAGGGGATATAACTTTATTGGGGTTTCCATGAGTTTTGGGGGTTCTTTATGGGATACTGTGTAAAAGTATATTTTTTTCTGTGCTTGGAGATAATTGGATTATGTGAGTACAGTGCCTGATTTAATTATCTCCCAAGCACAGAGGAGGGATTACATTGTTTGTGTATGGGAGTGTCCTGGACCTGAGAGCCAATGCCATTGTATGATTGTCTTTACTGTTGTCTACTCTCAGGTCCAGATGGGAGTGCCCCTTGCATGGGGATTGATATAAAAGGCCGTGTGTGGCTCTATTAAAACCAGTTATCTCACAGCATAGAGCCTCGTCTCATGTTTGTGGGAGAAAGCTATAACAGCTGTCTTTCTTCCGCTTGAAGTGCTTAATCAATAGCTCTTGTAAGAGCTGTTCCTGCTCTGCTCTACAGCATCCCCCCCACTAGGGGGAAAAGAACATCTCTGGCGGCAGAACCCCTCGTCCCATCGTGGAGGCCGCCACAAGTCGTTGTATATATTGTATATGATACTTGTGAATGTGGGCTGTGCGTGGAATTATGTGGATAATATATCATGTGTGGGTTGCTTCCCTGGGGTCCAGTGGGGACCGGGCTGACTAGGTGACATTCAAGGGCAGTAGCTGCGATAGCTGCTGCAGGCTGCTCTACTCCAGTGTGGATTCCTGTTAACAAGTGCTCTAAGAAAATTTTCTGAGATAACTTCCTCTAAGTGCTGCAATGCGTAAATTGTGGCTTGTCCCTCACCACCTGCAGTCACTACTCAGTTTTCACTAGCAGATATCTGAAGTTCCACTGGAACTCCTGATAGGCCAGAGCCTGTTTGGCTCAGGTAGTTTTGAGTTCCAGGCATGGGACACATGCCATATGTTGCTGACTCCTGCAAGGTGAGTAGTTCAGTGCAGACAAGTAAAAATCAAATTTTCCTTCATAATATTTCTGTATTTAGGGAAATCACCCCATGATGCTCCAGGCTCTCATGAACCCTCAGAATTTTGTAAGGAAATGCCACGTGTATATGTGTGCTTGGTCATTCCTCCATAGTTATGTACTAGTTATGTTAATGCCAGAGCAGCCTGACATACAATGTAAACAAGCAAAAAAAAAAAAAATCTTCAAACTATAGCTAACTTTACTAGAGTCTATAGCTGCTGAAACACGGGAGGAAGAAGCTGTTTAATTGATATGATTGTTAAGAAAACATGCCAGGTTTCAGTCCATAGCAATGTATAAAATGACATTTTCCACATATTGAAGGTTATGAGTAAATGCTAGAAGCAGGAGAAGAAGAAGGAATGTGAAAGAAGAAATCGGAGGAATTAGAAGGAGGCAGCCAGAGGTCTGTGCCTGGTTGGCGTATGTCAGTAAGTCTGCTACACTCATCACATGCTGGGATCTATGGCCATCCTGTGCCAATCTCTTGCTTATTCTCCACCTTATTTGTACTGCTTTCAGCCATTCCTATACCGCTTTGCTCTCCTTCGTTCTAATTCTCTGGACATTTGAATACTTGACACACACTGAAAAGCCATCACATAGGACTAATGACTTCACCTTATAAGTATGTCAGTGCCCTGCAGAGCATCACTCTGTAACCCTTCCACATACACACGTTACTACCCTGTGCTAAAGAGACATGCTGCAGACCATTTCCATGCCCCAATGTGCACTAAAGTGGGCAGTGGCCTTAATGGGCATGGCAGAGAGTGGCAACAACTTAAGCCAGTACTACCACACACCTTCACAATCACACTGTGCAAACATTCACAGTCACACAGTACCATACTTCACAATCATACAGTGCCAGCATTTACTATAACAAAGTGCCATCCTTCACACTAACTCAGTGTCAGCAACTACAATCATACAGTGCCAGCAACTACAATCATACAGTGCCAGCCTTCACAAAAACACAGTTCCAGCATGTAAAATCACACATTGCCAGCATTCACAGTAATACAATGCCAGTAATCACAACCACAGAAATTCTCATTATACAAGATCAACATTATCACACAGCGAGACCAAAGGGGCATGCACTAAAAAAAAGTGCAGAAAAATTACAAAAGAAAACAAAAGTACACCTTAGAGGGACACCAAAATAATTACTACTTAATGCAATAGTTTTCATGCATAAATATTGTTCCTTTACTCAGGAAAAGTTTACATCTGTCCACGAACCGGCTGTCAGACTGACAAAATCTAGGTGAACTTTCTCCTTAAGACCCATACAGGGTTGTTCTCTAAATTGAAAATTGCCAGGAATTCAAAGTAAATTTAAAAAGTTCAATATTTGGGCCAAATTACACACGTTTTCTACAATACATGTGGCGCAGATAAGCATTGGTTTGGACAAAAGATTGCCAGTTCTGATTGTTTCATCATGGTTGGAGTGGCTACTGTAAAGTCCCAGCACAGAATTACAAATACACTTTTTTTTTTTTTTTTATGTTAATAAATCTAAATTAAATATTTATTTTTCAAATGAAACTCTTCGTTTAACAGATATATTGTATACTAGTTTCTGTTTTAGCACCACTCGTAGTTTCTCATTTGCACTGTATTGTGTGCTCCCCCCCCCCACCATGTTGCACGTTTGAGTTATTCATTGTAATGGTTTCCATAAGTGCTCTAGAATTGCAATAGATTTGCTTTGATAAATAGGGCATTTAATTGGCCATATAGTAACTTTGTGTTAAAAATATATCACGATAATGATCATTCTGTGTAATTTTATGAAGTTTGCACTTTAACCTTTTCACTGCTAATAACGTGTATATACATAAGTTTAGTAAGTAAAGGAGTAACTAGAAACTACCGGGCCTGGTGCGAAAAGTGCCCTGTGGTCCCCCATGTGTCTCATTCCCCTCCCGGGCATCTCCCCTCCTTGAGTCTCATTCTCACTCCATGAGTCTCATTCCCTCATCCCCTCCATATGCCTTTTAGCCACCTCAGGCATAAACCACTGACATTGGTACTGTCATGCTCGTTGCACAAAACCAAATATTTGTAGTGCTAAGCCTCCCTTCATACCGACACAGACTGCACAAAGACACAGAACTGCGTGGGATTCTTCTCTTCTAACCAAATCAGAAGTGGTATCGGCAGTAACCTGAAAAACTAATTCTAACAAAGAGGACCAGAGGGTTAGCTGAAAGATTTGGAGATACCAGTATTGGGTTAAATTCTCACTTTGGAAGAGTGGACATTAGCAGGGCTGCACTCTGAATTATTGTTACGGGATATGTAGCACACAGAAACTAAAATCAACCATATGCTTTTTAAAGAAGGTCTCTGTAATTTGAAAGCTAGCAGATTAAGCTCCTTTTATCCAAGAACAGGTATCATTTGCGGTTTAGCCTACAGAAAATGTGAACTACTTTAGATGGCACGCTCTGGATTTTTCTGGCTCATAGAATAAGCATATCTCGATGAAGTGATTATAATACTACACATTCTAGACTATGCCCATGGGAAATGGATGCTCATCCCTTATTGGACCAGTCCCTTCTTGCAGAGTACAGCATAGCGTGGGGTGAAAAGTGCATTTATGTATCACCTGCAGGGGTAAAATTCCCGCATGTGCTACATCAATCAGAGCCATGACACCAACCAATCAAAACGCTTGAGGCACAGATAAAGTAAGATATTTCTCTAAATCAATATACATGTTTTTATGCCTGTTCTTACTGAAATAGATATCTCTGTGGTTTATGAGTATGTGTCTATATTACATATGTACATATTTTGCATGCATTGAATCTTCACCTGCTTCGTTTTGATTGAATATTGGAGACATTCAACAAGATAGAAACACTATAAATATAATGTACAAAGCAGTGACCTCAATTTTCTTTCTGCATTGTACAGTTTTTATTAATCACATTTATTCCATTATATAAAGCAGATTACCAGCGGATTAACATTATAACCATTCACTGCCCTGAACATTGTGCTGTTGCTGAATGTGACTTGCTATTATTGTGTAGGATTGTGTGCTTTTATGGTGGCATATTGGAATTGCCATTTTCTTTAATAGTGCAGTTTCTAAAATGCTATATTAGTTTCCTAGCTACGTGACTTTGTGTCTTACAGAATGTGGGGCACCTTCACTGTGGCATTACCAAATGTTTGTGTGTTAGAGCATTGTATATTGGCTTCATGGGTGTAAGAGAGGATGTAGTTCCACCTGTGCCGTGTTATGGTGTGCTATGAATGTGTTACTGATGGCGGTGCCATGTATCTGTGGCCTTTTAATATGTTGCAAATATGCGGTTCCATCTTAAATTATTCTGTGTGTTTAAAAGGGTGATAAAACATCAATCCAATTGTCCCCCAGAACAAGGACAGAAGGTGCCTGTAGCAAGTGTGTTAAAAAATAAGCTTAGAGTCATGTCTACAAATGCTCGCAGTTTAGGGAAAAAGATCCATGAACTTGTGGCAATAATGGCAACTGATAGTGTAGATTTAGTCGCTGTTACTGAGACATGGTATAATGAGAAAAATGACTGGGACATAGCAATACCAGGGTACTCTTTATATAGAAAAGATAGGGAAGGCAAGAAAGGGGGAGGGGTAGCCCTGTATGTGAAGGATAGCATAAAATCTAGCCTAATAAAAGTTAGTGAGGCGAACATAGAGTCCGTTTGGGTTACGTTAAAATTTGGTAATCACACAGTAACTCGTGTAGGTGTGATTTATAGGCCCCCAGGACAAATTGAAGCGTTAGATAATCTACTAGTTGAGGAAATAGCTAAAATGACAATGAAGGGGGAAGTTATCATCATGGGTGACTTTAATCTTCCTGATGTAAATTGGAAAACAAAATTAGCTAGTTGTTGAGGAGCCAACTCGTAAATAGACCATGCTAGATTTAGTGTTAAATGGAGATTTGGTATCAGATATTACTGTAGGTGAAAGTTTAGGATCCAGTGATCATCAGTCAGTGTGGTTTAATAAAAGAACAGTGACTGAATCACACCACACAAAAACAAAAGTTTTAGACTTTAGAAAAACAGACTTTTCTAAAATTAGAATATGTGTAGAGGAGTCATTATCAGACTGAAGCAATTTAAATGGAGTCCAAAAGAAATGGGATTATTTAAAAGTTGCACTATTGAAGGCAACAGAAAACTGCATTAGGCTTGTCAGTAAAAGCAAAAAATTCAAGAAAACACTGTGGTACTCCGCACAAATAAGTCAATGGGACCTGATGGAATACACCCAAAGCTATTAAAAGAGCTTAGTGGTATACTAGCAAAACCATTAACAGATTTATTTAACCAATCATTGTTAACAGGAGTAGTCCCAGAAGATTGGAAGTTAGCGAATGTTGTGCCCATTTACAAGAAAGGTAATAGGGAGGAGTCGGGCAACTATAGGCCAGTAAGCCTTACTTCAGTAGTGGGGAAAGTGATGGAAACCATGTTAAAGGATAGGATTGTTGAACATCTAAAAACACATGGATTTCAAGATCAGAGACAACATGGGTTTACTTCAGGGAGATCATGCCAAACTAATCTTTTGATTTTTTTGATTGGGTAACAAAAATGATAGTTTAGGGTGGTGCAGTAGACATTGCTTACCTAGATTTCAGTAAGGTTTTTGACACTGTTGCACATAGAAGGCTTATCAATAAACTGCAGTCTTTAAGTTTGGATTCCAATATTGTTGAATGGGTAAGGCAGTGGCTGAGTGACAGGCAACAGAGGGTTGTAGTTAATGGAATATATTCGAAGCTTGGACTTGTCACCAGTGGGGTACCTCAGGGATCTGTACTTGGACCCATTCTCTTTAATATTTTTATTAGTGATATTGCAGAAGGTCTTGATGGTAAGGTATGTCTTTTGCTGATGATACTAAGATATGTAACAGGGTTGATGTTCCAGGAGGGATAAGCCAAATGGCAAATGATTTAGGTAAACTAGAAAAATGGTCAGAATTGTGGCAACTGACATTTAATGTGGATAAGTGCAAGATAATGCATCTTGGACGTAAAAACCCAAGGGCAGAGTACAGAATATTTGATAGAGTCCTAACCTCAACATATGAGGAAAGGGATTTAGGGGTGATTATTTCTGATGACTTAAAGGTAGGCAGACAATGTAATAGAGCAGCAGGAAATGCTAGCAGAATGCTTGGTTGTATAGGGAGAGGTATTAGCAGTAGAAAGAGGGATGTGCTCATGCCATTGTACAGAACACTGGTGAGACCTCACTTGGAGTATTGTACGCAGTACTGGAGACCGTATCTTCAGAAGGATATTGATACCTTAGAGAGGGTTCAGAGAAGGGCCACTAAACTGGTTCATGGATTGCGGGATAAAACTTACCAGGAAAGGTTAAAGGATCTTAACATGTATAGCTTGGAGGAAAGACGAGACAGGGGGGATATGATAGAAACATTTAAATATATAAAGGGAATCAACACAGTAAAGGAGGAGACTATATTTAAAAGAAGAAAAACTTCCACAACAAGAGGACATAGTCTTAAATTAGAGGGACAAAGGTTTAAAAATAATATCAGGAAGTATTACTTTACTGAGAGGGTAGTGGATGCATGGAATAGCCTTCCAGCTGAAGTGGTAGAGGTTAACACAGTAAAGGAGTTTAAGCATGCGTGGGATAGGCATAAGGCTATCCTAACTATAAGATAAGGCCAGGGACTAATGAAAGTATTTAGAAAATTGGGCAGACTAGATGGGCCGAATGGTTCTTATCTGCCGTCACATTCTATGTTTCACGGAGTGTGAAAATGAGGAATTGTAGTGTTAGGGTTACAGAACGTGGTACCTGTCTACTGAGAAAATTGTATAAATGTTAGTGTTCTGTGCCTGGTTTGTTTGTTTTAGACGTACAGAACGTGGTTCCATGCCTGAGTGGCATTATAATGTATTGATATCAAAGTGCTCGGTGCCCTGTCTGTCTGTGTGGCATCAAAGAATATTGGTAATAATGTGTCCTGTGCCCTATCTGTGTGGCATCATAGAGTATTGGTAATAATGTGCCATGTGCCCTGTCTGTGTGTCATCATAGGGTATTGGTAATAATGTGTCCTGTGCCCTATCTGTGTGGCATCAAAGAATATTGGCAATAATGTGTCCTGTGCCCTGTGTGGCATCAAAGAATATTGGCAATAATGTGTCCTGTGCCCTGTGTGGCATCATAGCGTATTGGTAATAATGTGCCGTGTGGCATCATAGAGTATTGGTAATAATGTGTCTTGTGCCCGATCTGTGTGGCATCATAGAATATTGGCAATAATGTGTCCTGTGCCCTATCTGTGTGGCATCAAAGAATATTGGCAATAATGTGTCCTGTGCCCTGTGTGGCATCAAAGAATATTGGCAATAATGTGTCCTGTGCCCTGTGTGGCATCATAGCGTATTGGTAATAATGTGCCGTGTGCCCTATCTGTGTGGAATCATAGAATATTGGTAATAAAGTGTCTTGTGCCCTGTCTGTGTGGTATTCTGTAACAAAGCACTTATCAAGTTGAAATGTTATATTATACCAAGTGGCAAAAAGCCACGGTGGACCTATCGAATTCCTTCTGTGTATGGCAGAATGATTTGGTGTGTCTTTATGGTGTATACTGTCGGTGCAACTGAACGATGTGCCCTGTGGTGTGTGTCAGTGTGAAGTGGAATGCTTTCATGGAATAAACCTAGCTCTCTTGGGACCAGGAAGTAGCATACAATGGAGGAGATGCCCTGTATAGTAATTTATGCCAATTAGTGTTGAAAGTGGCAGGATTCCCTTGGAAGATCTCCTGCTGGCACAGTTTTCTGAGTTCACTTCAGTTCATAGCCGCTGATGCCCCAGTGACCGTTTAATAACTGGATTATCCACCATCCCAGCTCCAAGCTTTGTTAGCACCGAGCAGGCTTTGCTCCTCCCTTCCTCTTGCAGCAGCAGGAACTTCATTAATCACTTAAAACAAGCCCTGTGTGGGGTGGTGAGGGAGGGGATTCCTATGCCCCCTTCAGCAGCTCCATGGCACCACCTCCCCCCTCCCCCCCCCCAATGGAACAGCAGCTCTTCCCTGACCAATGGAGAGCTGTGACAGAAACATTCGACAGGGGCTGCAAACTGAGAAAAGAAGCTGCAACAAGAGGGGGCAACCCCTCCACTCCCACACCTGCAGAGCATTGTAATTTGGCTCGACAGAGCATTGCACTGAAAACATGCACATCATCCCACACTAACCTCACAAAGCTTTCCAAATTAACCCCTAGTCTCCTGAAAAATACTATTTGGCAACACGACACCCTAACAGAAGAGTGACTCTGTAGACTTTGCATATCATCCTACACATAATCTCACAAAGCATCATATGCACCATAGCATTCAGCTGTGAAAAGTATTTCTGCGTTACATGTCACCCAAGAACATAAAAACACTGCAGAGCGCTGTTCTTCAGTCATGCAGAGCCTTTTACGTGAACAGTAATAGCTACACTTTACAAGTGATCTGGTGCAGAGGCTTATGTGAGGGTGTATGAGGTTCTACATATTTTGACAAAATGCTTTGCAGATTAGCGCTGCAGAATAATGCTCTAAACTTTGACATACTTAGCGGCATACCACCCTAGCTCTTAAATGAATTCATTTCTTCTGACTATCCTTGGGGCACCCAAGGCCACTGCCTCTGTATACTCCCAGTGGAGCACAAGTGGAGATCTGTCTAGAGGAGATTTGCAGTGATAATGAACAAACCAGTATGCTGTTAAATTATACTCTCTCTGTCTTGCAGCGTATATAGCAGTGATGGCAAACCTTTTTGATTCAGAGTGTCCAAACTGCAACATGAAACCAACTTATTTATCGTAAAGTACCGACACTGTAAATAAACCTGAAAACTGAAATTTAATTAAAAAACAAAACTTGTTACTATATCCATCACGTGAGGAGTCGCCTTCCTCCAATCCTGCTCCACCAGTCTGTCCTATCTATTACTTCCTATTACTCACTCCCATAGCATCCACCAGCTGGCTCACCCACTTTACTGAGGGGTTAAATAAAAAAACATATATATATATATATATATATATATATATCTCATGACTGCAGTGGCAGGGGTTAGAGTATGCTTTTAAAGCCCCTACACAGGGCTTACCCACTTTTGATGAAACCCACTTTTTCTCCAGGCCAGAGATCCAATGTGATGATGGTAAATAGTGGGAGAGGATTGATAATATGTCCTGGGGATGGGAGTCTTGAGATAGTGAGAGCCTTTACATTTATAAATACTCTGCTTCCCATACAGCTTGTTCACCGGGACTCCACAACTCTGGCTTCTCCACTTGCTGTCTGTCACATACCTGAGGGGGTACTGGGCTGAGCGCTGTAA